ATCAAGGATTACATAGGATATTAATGCTTGACCTTCATGGAAGCAAGGGTTATTTGGGAGGTTATTTGTAGTCAGAATACATCAACCAGCCTTTATCCACTTAAAGCATTTCCCAAACCAAATTAATTTTTCTTCTCCCAAGAGACATGTTTAGGATTGTGTGTTGCCTTTACAGTTGGGCTCGAAGTTCTAGCATGTATTGTATAATTTATCATCCTGGTTGGTCTATTACTTCTGAATACCCACTGGGCTGTCTGAGTAATTTGTTTGTGCATTTGGTACATTATCAGGCGCAGATGTGTGCTACTGAAGTTGTTTTTGATGTGTTTTAAATGTTCCAGGAGCTAGCAGGGGAGCCAATAAAATCATCCCTGAATTAGTGTTGGCAAGCTGAATATAAACCACCCTCAAATATCTGAAAAGAAAGTCTGACAGTGTTATTGATTAAGTTGTGCCTATCAGTGATGCTTTTTCTGTCTCTTATTGCCCTCAGGAGACTGCCATTTGACTGTGTGGTCATCTTGGAGCTCTTGCCAGCTGACCTGCCTGGAGGGGCGGAGCTTTGAGACCACCGGTCGCCAAGCTCGCTCCAGAGCTGTGATCATTCAGGTCATGGATAACCAGGGCAGCTGCCCACATCAAGTCTTGAGACCCAGCCTTGTAAAGGTACTAAGGAAACTACTCAAAAACAGAAAAAAATCTAGTGACAGTGATTAGCGTTGTCTTAACATAGCCTGATATGAAAGCCTGACTTTCAGCAACTATAATCAGTATTCTTCTATGAATAATGGATTACATGACTATTTGAAAGCAGTCGATCGTGATGAACTGGCAGTGAATTAGCTCTGTGGAGCTTTATAAGGTCTTTTATATAATGTTTTGGTTTTCTTGCAGCTGTTTTCAGTAAAAAGTAGTAAAGCTACTATACGCTACCAAACAGCATAAAAAACATAGGGACTAGCTGCTGAACACAGTGGAGCATTTGGCAGCTAAAGAGCCAGATATTTCCCTCAGGACTTAGCGAAGTCTAAAAACAGCTGAAATGAGAGTGGATTTTGGACAAAACTACAAATGAATGCTTATGCTGCTTTGCGTGTCACTGATGTGTAAACAAGAAATGGTTTGCTAACATGTCATTTAAACTTAAAAGGTGATAACAGGCATTTGTCATCGTTGTGTCTACAGATTGTTTCAGCTGACCCTAAGTAGACCAAAACATCTCTCAGTGAGGTTTAAAACTTATTAACACTTAACACTATATACCAGTGCTAATGTTTCAAGGCTTTTACACACATCCAGCTGTCATGTCAGAGTGTACTGGAGCCACCCTGAATATATACTTCAAGATCAGAACCCCATCGACAGGATGTCAGCAAAAACTAGGTTTTAACTGTTGTGTTAATTTGACCTTTATTCTTTCTATAAATTGACAAAATTGAAAAAGGTCAACGTCCGCCTTAAGAACAAATTAAGTCCTCCTTGTGCAGCAGTCACACTGTGTCTTTTGGGATTTTAAACATTGGATATTTAATAACAAAAGCCTCCGATCCTCAAGATGGATCACTGAAGTGGAAATCATCTTCTAATAAATGTTCAGTAAACTTATTAATCTTCATAATCTACTCATGAGAGTAATATTTGCACCATGATGTTATGGTTTGGAGGCTAAAAGGTAATATTACAAGTGTCTAAATGGCCAGGTCTGTTGTAGTTTTGTGATTGTAATGGCATGGTTATCATTGAAACTGTGTCAAAAGAGGGTTAGCGCTTAACAATTACAAAAAGGAGATCATTAAAGGTTCAGTATTTGAACATAGAAAGGAACTGCTACACCTACTTGTTTCTGGACTTTACTGCAATTGTAATGTTTAACTGTATTGTAAATTATTTAATTGTAATGTTTCCATAAGCTGAGTTTATTTTTGTTAAGTTTCTTTTTTTTCATTGTTTCATTAAATAATTTTGAACTTTTTTGATTGCCGCACCCAATATATGTACCGTAATATATCTAATCAGCCCCAAAGTATTTGGACTCTTGCCAGCTCTCTTTTCCCTCATTAATTTGCTGTTTTTAAACGTTTCATGGAAAATGGTAATTGCCAGGTACTTGGCATTCATTACTTTCATTACATTCATACTACTGCACACCTGTGCAGCTTTTATCTCATACTGAATTTTTAAGTCCTTTCCTGTGGTGTTCCTTCTATTTGTGATCTTGCCATACAATTCAATACTACAGGGTCAAGTGTCCTTTCAAATCAGTCTTCCCCTATAGCTCCCAGCAGGGAAAATAAGAACCTTCATTTTAGAAAATAAGAGTTTCTTTCATACATTTCTAATCAATTTCTACCAGTTCATTTCCTCCAAAGATGGCTTTGTCTCATAAGCACGCTGCTTCAGTGGAAAAGGTGCCCTTTTCCTTTCACTACAAAAACATAAAAGGTCTTACCTCATAATATGAAGGAGCAGGGCAGCAGAACAAGTGGTGGCTAATGTCAATGGGAGCCTGATGACAAACACAAACTGCTAATGAGCATCGTCTCTGCATTTCTGCTATTGCTATAGGAGGAAAATGCCACAGTTACCAGTGGAGGACAGGGGGATGGAGCAACAATGAGAGAGCAGTGTGGTGTCAGCGCTCAGATGGTGTCAATGTCACAGGTGAGTAGTTGCATTGTCTTCTGGCCACCCTAGGTGGGACATGCAGAAGTACTCATGGGAACACACACAGACACACATTCTTATATAAAAATGAATAGCTGTGTATATCTGGCTTAATGCAGACTGCAGCTGAAAGCGTCCCAGTTCTCTTTTTGTTCCCTTGTACTGAACTAAATCAGTGTGAACAGCAAAAAGCTGCTTGGAGTCTCATTTTTCAATTCACTCCGGCTCATATGGATATGTGCTACAATATCAGGTTATTTGATCGCTCAAAAAGGAATTTGTAAGCGTTGCCATGACAGTAAGTGAATCCTCTTTCATTCGTCTGAGGTAGTTGTCACACCCGTAAATTTGGCAAGTGGTTATAGCAGGTGGTTTGGAAATAAATTTAGAATGGATTTCCTTGTTGGTTCAGGAGATAATTGAAACGTTTGGAAACAAGTGAGAAGTGTGGGTACAAAAACAAGCAATATGTGGCGCCTTTTGGAATTGTTGATTGCAGTTTACAATATCATAATGCAATATATGGGTTACATCCTACAATAGATATGATCAGATGGCATCATTTCAAAATTTTGCATGACAGCCTGCAGTGTGAACCTTCTCACACACTCACACATACATGCAGACGCAGAATAATTTTAGTACAGTGTTCTAGTTGAATTTAGCATCTTATTTGATCTACCCATTCTCCGTGCAGCCTCCATTGATTTCTCCTCTGCCTCTTAACATAAGTAATCAATAAGCCAGACTCTGAGCTGGGAGGCTTTCAATCCATATAAATATAATCATGCATTTGTATTTGTGGGAAGTAAAGCAGGCGCAGAGAAACAGAACAAAGGTAGAACAAAAGCTTTAGGCGAGCTTGATGTGCTGTAAATAGTGGGTGAATGTGATCTTATCGCTGTAAGGAAATGTTTCTGGCAAATATGAGCCCAGAAGGAATAACCTCCCTCTGCAGAGAAGCAAGAGCCCAAGGCATTACTCTTTGATATTTTGACGTGCAATTTTCCATGTTGGAATTAAAATGTTCACAGATTGATCAGGGACCTTGATAGGCGACTGAGCCCATTTATCAGGTGTGACAGTACGTTCATTTTGTGATCAATGAGTAAAGGAGCAGAAATAAGAACCTGTTGTCTTTCTCCAGGGGGGTGTTTCCCGCAGAAAAGGCCGACCACCGTGAGACATTGCCATCCTCCGTGCACTAAACCCTTCTCACACTGCACACCGGTAAGATCATTATACTTTGATCAGGCAGCTGTGATCTCTGTCATTATCCTTGGGTTTTTCCTGTTTCCTGCTGCTACCACATTCTAGGCGAGGAGTTAAATTGATTTTGACAGATGACAATTTTAATTGTGAAGAATAGGCCATTAAAGGATAATCACATTAATACCAATGAATGTGGGCTCCATGTCAGTTAGGGAGTACACCTAGATGGGGGAAAACTGCACACAAGCAGCCATGGAAATAAAAAAGAAGAGCCTAAGCTTGACGTTTTACTGCCCCTTAGAGTGCCCTCCATGTAACTGCACCTACAAAAGCAAAACAGTGTGCTATAGCGCTGATGCTTTTAAGAATCAACTGCTTCATCTTCTTGGGAGACATTACAAGTGTGCTCTATACCGTCAATAGAAGGGATAAAGCCTTAAGCATTCTGACAGACCTTTCTCACACTTTGACACTGTAGGGTGCATTTTTAAGAAGTCTTTCCTTGCAGTCAGCATTTTGAATCTAAACTCACAAATGTTTGCGTTTAACTTGCCTACTATTGTGTACTCTAGACTTGTTTTTTATTTTGTCTCAGTGGTCTCACTTGTTGCCACATAAAGATGTATTCTATTCTATTTGACATGTAATTTTTATTTAATTGCATTTTAGATGCTAATTGCGGATGAAATTCCTTAAAAAGGTTATCAGAAGTGCATAATACATAAAAACCACTGCAGTTGTCTGGTATTTGGTTCCAGTGTGTCTGTTTTTAGTCTGGCTGGTGCTCATTCATAGTCTCCTAATCTGGCAAGTGTCGGTGTAATCTACCCCTGAGGAGCACAGTTTAATGTCAGGGTTGGGATAAATCAACCTGCAGTGATAGAAGAAAGTCTTAAAGTAAAGTAAGGCAGAGTTTGCCCTGTTTTGTCAGCAGTGTTTTTTTGCAGTGGGAAAGTAATGATTATAGTCGTCTTATGTTGGCTGTGAATTATGTTCTTCTGCCCCCCCATGCAGAGCGGAGTGTGGGTGTGAGAAGGGTTACACCGAAGTGATGACCACGCACGGCTTCTTGGACTACTGCACCAGAACCCCGGGGGCGGACAACAACAAGAAAGCTGATGTGAAAACCAACTCTGGAAGATTAAAACCCGGGCCGTCTCAGGCCCAGGACCTCTTCAGCGAGTGGACCTTACGACCTGTTGGCCCAGGTAGTGAAATGGAAATCATCTTTACAGTTCAACCAGCGCGCATGTGATCATTCCTGTCTTTGAACCTGCCTTTGTAGTGCTAGGATCACTGGGCTGGGGGTGGAATTCATTTTAGGTCAATGTTTTTACTTGGGCTCATTGTATACCGTAAAAAAATAAAAAATAAAAACTCAGGAGACCATAAAAATGTCAAGAAATTCTAGTCACTGCTCTGAAGTATGTTTGGAAATGGAATAAACCGACTTCTTTATTCTGAAACGTGAGAAAAGTTCTAAAGATCTCCAGACAAAGGATGTAGACGTACATATATTCAAAAGTTTGTATTAAAACTGCTTTTTGATTGCACAGATGGAAGAGTAAAGCTGTGGGTTTACGCCGTGACTGCCGTTGGATTCATCTTAATACTCTTCATTATTGCGTTATCATTCCTGGTCTGGTATGTACTATATAACTTTCTTAAGAAATTCTTCACGATGCACAATTTGAAGAACAAAAGCTCCATTGTAGGTCACACAAATTGTAGATGAGAACCATCTGCTTTCCTTGGAAAGAACCATGTCAAGTATGAGTTATATTCCTCACAGTATTTCGTCTGCTGTGTGCTGCTGCTATCAGATAATGGAATTCTTTGTAAAGACAGAAATAAAGTTGGGTGCCCTGTGCTGCTAAGTCAGATACACTGCCAGCTTTTCTTTCCTGTCTATTTTTTTCAGTAATCCATCCAAAACCACTAAGACGTCTCCCCCACCGCAGAAGCCCTTGACCCTAGCCTATGATGGTGACATGGATATGTAACCAGGCTGCTATACCTCACAAGGATGCGCTCGGCCTGATAAAGACTCCTGACTCCGTTCTGATTGTTAGCAAGCACGCCCATCACATACCACTGATCGTTGGTCAGTTTGAACTGGGTGGCTATTTGCTGTAGTGCCAATTGTATTGTATGCAGCGGACAAGCAGCGATGCTCGCACGTGGCATGCTGCTGAAGGGCAATGTAGCCCTGAAATTTTGGCTGCAGCAGACGTTCCTCACTAAAGAAGAGGAACCAAAGCCGAACATTGTGAAAATGAGACAAAAGGTCTATAGACGTAGGAAATGAATCGACCTCTAGTTTCTCTTTTTAACTGCTTGCAATGTGAACAACACAGTTGAAGCACTGTTTGCCACCCACAAATCACAAGGACTCCGAAAAGTGTTTTTTGTGTGTGTGAGAATCAGAGGAACCACTTGGCTATTTGTCTCGTATTTATGTAATGAGGGAGACAAAACATCTTGAGTCAGCAGTCGCTCATGACATTCAAAGGCAGAACAACGGAACATTTGACATTTGACTTTGTCTCATCAGTGCTGGATCTTTGGGAAAGGAAATGTCACACGCCTTTTGGGTAAACAAACAGCCTTTTTTTGAATTTCTGAGAATAAACAAGATGCTCTATGCACTACGTTAGTGCTGATTCACTTTGTTTTTTTTCCTTTCAAATGACTTTTCTAGTGATTTAATTGTAATGCAAGTTGTTGCTGTCAGATTGTGTTATGTTGATAATGCCATATGTTGTGTATATGTGGAAACCAAAAGCAGGCTTGCCTTGATTTTAACAATACAGTGATGCAGTAATTTCTCCTCCATGATGCTCATTAGACTCTCGGCCACTGAGGACTAAATTAAGAAACAACCTCAAAATCGTGGAATTTGTACTGAAACATGGCAGACTGCTTTGGTGACAAATGCAGTCCAGGATTAACAGAAGACAACATAAACGCAATGCAAATTATCAAATACCAGCATGATAAAGATCATACCTCATATACACGTTTCATCAAATGCAAAACAAATAAAGCACCAAAACAATACAAGAATAGAAGTGAAGAATTATCCACTGGATCACACATTGTATTTTTTAGCAAAAACACCTTTCACGAGGATGTCATACTTTGTTTTCCTTTTACACCATTTATTTCATACCATTACATCAATATACAAGGTCAGCTAACATAGAACAAGGTGAATAACTAGTTTTTGACAGTATTGTGTTCCTTTTTGCACCACGAAGACAGCAAATACCAAATATTTTGTGAGCACACACCCAAACTTAAATGAGCTATCTCTCATTTTTATTTCTCCAACCCCTCGACAAGCCCAGGAATTTTTCAGATTTCCACGATTTTTGGTGCCAGAGCATCATCCCAAAGCACCTTAGTGGGCCATAAACTCTTACATTTTGTGTCACATAGACATGGATCCTTCAGTGCATTATTCATATGACCCAGTGGAGAATTAATACAACAAACAAAATACTTGGTGGTTTTGGCACTGACCAGAGTTTACGCTGTTTCTCTTTCTGCCTCCACAAACTGAAGATTTGGTCTTGTGTTATCTGACCTCCTTCTGAATGTATTTTACCAGTAACTCTATAATCTTAATGGTTGTGCAAATATGGTTGTTACATGTTGTAACAATTGTATTTCAACAGCTGATTGTATGTAGGCATGCTTGATCCATTTTGGCAGAAAGTGCTCCCAGTGGCCTTGCGAAGATGTTTTCCAAGATGCCAAACATTTTTTGAATAGTTTCTTTTAGGCAGTGTTTCTAATATTTGGCTAACAAAGGGACATATGGTAAATGTCAAGTGTGTAAAATTCAGTTGTGAATGTTGATCATTTCTAGATAACATGGTCAACTATTTAACAAGTTATCTGGGCACATTTCCATTATAAAACAAAGAACAGCCAACTTTGGACCTGAGAAGAGAATTCTATTGGGTTATGTCCAAGAAAATCTCAAAGTATGTTAACTCATTGTTTGCAGTACCATGCTATTTGTGTTACTATTGTGTGTACATGGAGAGCTGGACAAAAATGCAAATAAATTGTGGAACCATGTGAAAATAAAACACTGCATTCTTTCCTCTTTGTTGTACATTTCAGGGTTCAAACTGAGTGAAATCTTTTGCAAGGAGATGCTCTAGTCCTGCTGTGATCTTCATCGGCTCCTTGACTCTCAAGTGCTGATAAATTGTAATTACTGATACAGGCTCTGAGGCACAGACCAGAATATATAAGCAGCTGATAAGATTCATGCCCTCCAGTTAGATTCCAAGTCTGATAGTCCCAGGATGATCGCAGGTTGTGCGGGAAACAGTGTTTAAATCTTTTGTCTCATCTAATTCATTTATTTAAGACTGTCACTTTTGTTTAAGAGAAGGTTGAATTCAAATGCTTGTGTCATGGCCACCTGATTGGTGGCGAAGACATGGGCTGATCTTGTCATGTCCAATCCATCTCATTTTAGTAGCTCTCAAGACATATTTGCAGGTTTCAGTGAAAATATGGGAACAGTTTGACGATGGCAGAGTCTAGTTCTAATCAGGATTCATCTATCACCGCAAGCTGGATCATTCTGATAAAATGCTGGATGCTGTTTGGGAGAGCAGAGTAAAAGGCTTAATGAACATTTAGTAGGAACAATGCATAACCGAATATAAAATAATGAATGTTTATCATTTATTACTGATTTGTTATGTGTTTGTCTACACCCCATCAGTAATGACATTCTTACAGTTTTCATCAATTTGCTGCAGATATTTAGTCTTTCTAAGATGAAACTGTATTTACCAGAAAAATACTATATTTATGGAAATTTCTTTCCATTTTTCTTTCTTTTCCATTTTAATGAACGAGAACAACAGGAAGACAGGATAGGAAGGCAATGCAACAGAAGTCAGCTAGAATTGAACCCCAGTTGCATCACAGTTGCATGTTGCTTGTGCATCAAAAACCTCTGGCCAAACGTGGCCCTCCATGCACCTTGATGATACTAATATCAAGGTGTTGTGGCCAAGAGGTTTAGATGCATGGGAGTCCCTGCAGCCAGTGTTGATCAACAGAACTGATGAAGCCTCTTGGATGAATGATGAAATTTCTGTAAACTCCTAGTGCAGTTGATTGTACAGGGTTTTTTCCTGGCTCTAAATGAGGTGGAGGTGGTAATACCCTGCTCAAGTATACTGTGGCCATATAAAACTATACCCCCCCCCATGCTGTGGCCTAGCTGTCAAGGCAAACAGATGGCTCTTTTCTTCCTCTCTGGACATTTTGGTCACGAAACTTTGTATATACATTCATGACCTCCACAAGATGAATTGTAATAATTTTGCTGATCCCTTAAACTTTAGTCTAGCACTACCATCTGTTAAGAAATGTATCTGTCAAATACTGTGGTTTATGACCCAATGACATTCCCATCTACCTCAGCTGCAGGCCTACTTTCTAACTAGCAAATGCTAACAAGTTAAACTGAGATGGTGACCATTATACCTCCTAAACATCTACATGTGTTAGCATTGTCATTTTCAGCATGCTAACAATCATTTAGCCCAAAGCACCGCTGTGCCTAAGTACAGCCTCACAGAGCTGCAAGTCTGTAAACTCTTGTTAAATATGACCTTTGAGTTCAGAATTATGTAATCATACAAATAAAAGAAGTAACACTGTCTGGCTGTTGTGCCCTTTATGCACAGCAGTGTGTGTGTGTGTGTGTGTGTGTAAGAGAGAGACAGACAGTTGTTTACTTTGACATCCTAATGAGTATCTGGTACTTAATTAGACATAGTTCATTAGAATCAGAATCAGTTGCAAAAGGGAGTTCAGTCCAAAGATGTGAAGCTTGGTAGAAAAATACTTTTTCACCCACTGACTTTTTGTCTTCCTAATTTTGTCCTGATTATTCGAAGACCAGCACCTTGTAATCTGAGAGCATGGAGGTGGCATGTGGAGAACAACGAGGTCGAATAGATAAGACGGTGCAAACTTGTATAATTAATGAAGGGACTTAAGTCTAGCTTGAACTCTGAGCCAATGAATGGAGAACAGATTAATGTGATATGGTCAAGTTTCCCACTTGTAGTCAGGGCCACACACAGGGCTATGAAATACCAGTCTGAAAATTGCATTTCCCTGATCTAAATACACTCAAACAAATAACTCATTGGATGAACTCAAATTGTGGGCAGGATTTCCATCCAATAAATATATGTAGCCTCAACTCAAACTCAGTACATTCATTCAGCAGAATGTAAATTAGGTATTCTAATTCATTTGTATCAAATATATTCAACAGAATGTAATTGAGTTAGCCTAACTCATTTTTATCAAATACAGCCAAACTGAAATTATTATATTAACTAAATGAAACTGATTTACATTTGT